AGCATCTGCTCTTGGGAAGAGAGCACATAGTAGATTTTTCTCCCACTTTCAAACACATGTAAATATCACAGAGAATTTTTATTTTTAACTTTAAAATGGACAGAGACCCAAGCATGCTTCTCAATCCGCCATACTTTGAAACAAGAGAATTTTATTTTCATCCTTACGTTTGGAAACCTGGATATCTTTTGCAGAGTTGATTTATTATTTGTTTTTTCCATTTTATCCCCTACTCATTCTAGAGATTAAGATGAAAAATTCTGCTCCTAATGCCATATTTAGGTGACAGTTTGTTGCTAAATTAGTGAGTTTCTTGATCTTTTTCCTATTTTCAGTGGCAACCACAGAAGATATCCCTGAAAAAACGTAACCCTAAGTGTTGTAGGCTAGAAGTAAACTATTAAACTTTTCTTAGCCCTCCTGTTGAAAAAGTGTCTCATGAAGGTAAATTTTTGGTAATTATGTGGTTAAGTGTGAAAGTTCTAACAGTTCTTAACAGAAAATGTTTTTGGCTTTCTGTTCTTTAGAAGTAGGTCTGAAGGGAGAACTTTGTGGTGGGGTTTTTGATACTTCATGGAGAAGTCTCACCAAAAGCAGTGGGAGAAGAATGTTCACATTTGTGTTTACAAGTAGAATATTTGTGAGGTTTTGTATCTAGAGTAGATGTTTGCATATCACTTTATTACTGTTTTCCAGGAGTTTGTGGAGAATAGTAGAAAATCTATGAAAGAAGCTGGCCGRGGAGGTGGAGCTGAGGGCAGAGAGCTAAAACCAATGGTAGGTGCAGATGAGGAGGTGGAGATCCTCCACGAGTTTCACTTTTACTTCCTCTCCCTCTTTGTCTTTACTGACTGCACTTCTTCAGGAGAAGTTTTTGTTCTCTGTATCACTCAAGATGTTCTGCTTTTTCTGTTTGTGAGCTTGCCTATCACCTGGATGGCAGAGTTTTTGTCACAGCTGAGACCATCTCCTGTAAAAGTAAGATGAAAGGAACTGTGTCATATGAAACAAGCAGTATCATTTCATTAGGATTAGTAGTGCATGCTAGGTGTTATATACAGACAGCCCCCACTACTGAGCACTCTCAAAACTAGATGACTCTGGAATTCATTAGTCTGTTCTGACTTCAGTCCTCTTTACAGAGCTGAACTAAACAATTCTTGCTCATCCTGCATTCAGGATATGAGCCTGAAGAACACTACTGAGCGCATCCATTGTTGCAAAGTAGAACCAGGCATTCAGGCTCTGACCAGATCATTTAATACAGTGCCAGGGGGTTGGATACGGTGATTCCTTTCAACCTGCTTAAATGACATTTCTCCCAGTTGTTTGTTTTTATTGCCGACTACTTACGTTGCTTGTCTCCTGTGTGCTCTTTGCATCTCACACTGTCAGATACAGAGACAGTGAACAATGCATCATTTATGCTTCTGCAGCCTGTTTTACTTATGGTTTGCCTGTTAGGAAGGCGTTGCATGTCTGAGTAGCCTGGAATAAGGAGCAGCTCTAAATGGTACAGATAATACAGCTATCAGTATAGGAGAATGAGTTTGGAAGGTGGAGAAATGAGAGCATATGATGAGAAGCCAGGCTGGGCAAGGTATGATTTGTCACTGTGCAATATGACTTTGTAAAAAAAAAAATAGTATTCTACCATGAGTTTCTCAGAATATTTGGGGCTTGTCTCAGTTTGTTGCCAAGTGAACAACTTTTTTTTTTAATTCAAGGAACCCCAATATTTGGGATATATGCTAATAGTGTTTTTTTTTTTTTAATTATGTATGTGTAGCCCTCTTGCATGAGCACTTTTGACCTTGCTGAAATGAGTTCCTGCTCTAGAAACAATAGATGCTTAGCTTTGTGTGTTTTGCTATTCATTATAACATACCAGCCTCTAGATTTGCTTATGCCTAAATGCTGCCTTATTTTTAAATTTTGCAAGCTAGTTCTATGTTCATTTATGTTTTCCTTCAAGGTCTAATTCTCRTTGAACAGAAACACTAATGTGAGGRTTTTTCAAAGTGGTTTAAGCACTTCAAATGTAAAACTGCCTTGGGAATGATTGAGAATGGGATTTGCACATCCTCTAGTGACAGGGAGAAAAAATATCACCCCCAAATTTTATTCTGTCGTGTAATTCAGACTGTTTGCCAGTTGTGCTCTCCTAGAGCCAGCCCAGACTGCTACCTAGAAGTTTGTACTTGCCTGCCTAAAGCCTGGATTTTAAAACAAACAAACAAACAAACAAAAGGCAATTGCAAGTCAAGCCCCTTTTCATTCTTTTGGAAACCTGGCTGCAGGCACTCAATCCTGGCAACCACTGGAAGTCCTGCTAGGATTGCTGGGGGATACTGAGCCTCTGGTGTCCCATGTGGACATGCCCACAGTTCTGCCAATTTGATAGTCACCTTTGGAACTGATGAGCTTTATTTTCCAGAGTGGTCTTTGGTTTTGGGATGTGCAGCTGCAGTTCCTATGCATAGGATCTGAAATGTTGGGACCTTGCTTCCCGACAGGAATGGAATTCAGTGAGGGTAGTAGAAATTCCCCTGTGCACTTTCTGAAACCTTTTCCTGAGGCATGGATAAAGGCCCTTCATGCTGTCTGGATAGGTTCATAAGTATATTCTCTGAGAGTAATGCCTATCACCTCAAAGTTAGGGGTGGCAAGATGAAATGAAACTGTTTAAAAAACCTGAATCTATACTGTTTTGCCTCAGGTTCTCTAAATATGCTATTTCTTAGGCATGACAATTAGTTGTAAAAATGTAATTCACAAAACACAGTTGTAATAGCAGAGGTGAGGAACTATTTAGGACCTTCTGTTTCCAAAGAGATTATCAAAGCACAAGAAAAAAATCCCTTTCACACTTTTTATTTTTTAACTATTTCCAGTGACCCCTTTGATTCAGTTCCTCCTTATCCTTTGGCATTTGTCTAAGACTGTACTATATGACTTTGTTTTCTAGGCCTCTGGAGCAAGTTCATCTTGAAACTAGCCAGCCATTATGGAACCCATTGACATTCCAAAACAGTATATATAAACATATAAACACACACACACACACATATATATATATAAACAGCCAAAATCAGAGAAAAGGAACAGGGATTTAATACTTTTTTTAACAATTATTTTTGTGAAACATGTACTCTTTTCATACGGGTGGCTTTTACAAGCAGCTTTATCATTGTTCCATTTTTTCTTTTCTTTTTCAATTATTCATTGTGGTCATAGAACTGTTGATTCTTATCTGCTTGATATTTTATAATCTAGAGGAGGTATCATTGTAAAGATAAATGATGATTGAGTTTAGAGAATCAAGTATGCGATTTCCTGTGAAACCACAAATGTGCTGAGAATTTTGCTTGATTTGTTTAAATTTACACTAAATACAGGACAATTATGAGTAAAACCTTCCAATTAAAAAAAAGAATCAAATTTAGTTTTTTAAAAGGTGGTTTCAGTGAGAGCTAATTCAGTTCTGATTTGTGAGCAGACATTTTACCTTAGAGCCCTGATGGGGCACAGTGGGAGACATGTAGTTTTGTTTCAGTATCAGATATCACAATAACCAACCTCTCAGGTATTCAGATGTGTGGGAGCCCATGCTTACAGAAACCAGAATATGGGGAAGGATGACTTTTATATGCAATTTTTTCCTGTTTTACCTTACTTTCTCCTCTCCCCCTCGCCCTAATGTCAGTCACCTCCTTTGCACTTCAGCAGTGCTCCTTTGAAGGGTATGGATTTTCCATGTGAGCAGTTGAACTAACAGTTTATTAAAGCTCAGTCTTAGCCATACTCATGATTAAATCATGACTATATGTAAGAATATTGGGGATAGGAAGAGACATGAACTCTCTTACTGTACAAAAAAGTAAGTACTGTATATGCTTTATTTCATCTAATGCTGCAGAGCTTTGGGAGGTGGAAGGGACCATTCCTTGCCTGTTTCTTCATTCATGTTTGTATGTACTGTAGCAGGTGGGTAAAACAGGAAAGGGCAGAAAAACATTTCTTTGAAAGTGTCACTGCCAGAATATTTACCTAAAGTTATCACATAACCACAAGGGGATATACTCTTTTTTATTTGTAGAAATTTACATTTATTTTCACTACGGAAACTCACCAGATATGAATGCTAATATTCAATTGTTCAGTGTATTGTAACAGTAAATGCTTACAAGTGTATTTGCTAAGAACTCATGATCTGTCTATGCTATATACTCCTTTTGTTACAATTTTTTTAAGAAAACTATTTTTGTTAATGTAAAGTTAATATTTCAGAGCGGAATTTTTAAACTTATTGCACTAAATATAAGCTCTGTACAAATAAATAATGCCTCAATGGTTTGATCACTCCATTCAAGAAATTTTTTTGAAAGAGAAAAGCCCTATTACGGTAACTTTGCAAGAAAAATGGGGAGGTATGTCTTGGACAGGAATATACCACTCATGTCATCAGGGTTTAGTTTTAATAACTTTAATGTGCTTCCTTTCAGAGGACTTTACTTCTGAACTGGTAGTTTGGGGATTTTTTGATCATGTAACTAACTAGTCAGTGCTTTTGGCAATAGTGAAATATTTCACTTTTGCTTCTGTAGGTAATTTGGTACTTAAACTCATTTAGGTTTCCTTCAATAAGTCAATCAAAAGGATTTACTCCTTTCCTATCACAGAAACTAAATTCTTCCAAAAATACTGAAAGTGAAAATGCTGCTTTCATAAATGATAACTAAGGGAGAAGCAAAAAGACTTAAGATCTAATCCTTAAAGCACTTAGGCACTTGTTGCACTTACATGAGGAGACTGTATGGAGCTTATGCAGGTTACACCTCTGCTTAAGTGTTACCTGGACTAGGATTTAGATTTGAGAGCTGATGGGGCCTCTCAGTGCAAATTAATTGTCAGGCTACCTAAAAGGAGCCCTGGAGCAGCCTTTAGTTTGTGGAGAGAAGGCATTTTTGCTGCACTATGGCCTGCGAGCAGAGTGGCCACTCCACACGGAACATCTGTGTAGATCGATGAGGTTTGGCAACACAAGTTAAATATGGCTCAGAGGAATCCTAGGAATAGGATATCAAGGCTAAGAGACTTAATATGTTCCCATTTGCTCCAGCGTAACCATAGTTATTGAAGAAGCTGTTGAAACTTTGGATTCTGCACATTTTTGACATCATGTTTCTGCCATGACACCTTCCACAGGCTTGTGCTCTTTGCTCATTGCAAGTCCTGGATGGGGGCTTTTCTCTGAATTCATAATAGGACTGCAATTGGAAACAAATTTTGTATTTTTGTATGACTCGACTGTGCACCAGTTTTATAATAGTTTATCCTGTTTTACAAATAAATTTGCTTTATTGACATAGTGTTTAAAAGATATAGGCAACGCTTTTCTATGGGTAGCTGTAATGTTGGAGTGATATATATATATATATCATTATGAAGTTTTTAATAAAATCTTGTTCTGTTCTTGAGCATATACCTGGCATGTAGAGCTTGTCAGTTACAAACTGGCCATACYAAAATGTCATTTTAGTGGCCCTTCAAAGCTTTTGGATGCTCCTTGTAGCTTATTTTCAACAAAAATGCAGGCTACCTTCTTCCAGCCCTGTCTCATGGGAGGAGATAAGTTGAAAAACGAAGTCCAAAGAGGGAATTTTTCAGGATAAATTTAAACAATTCTTTCATTTCCTTTGGTAATGGGGATAGTAGAATAGAAGAACACTTCGAATGTAGATCCCTGTTTGGCAGTAGAGGCGCTGGGAGCTGCTGGGGGTGGCGGACTAAATATTTCACATGCCAGCTGACGTTGTAGGCAAGTGTATGGGCCGCTTTGTGGGCAGCTCTGTCTGGGAAGTAATGCTGATTCTGCATTGGGAGTAGCACCGCAGAGGGTGTAAATGGGACAGCTAAGCTTGAGGAATTGTCTCCTTGGAAGGTGCACTGATCTGAGCAGCGGGTGAGGGCTAGTGGTTCAGTGGGACCCAAAAATGAGCCGAGTTGGTTACCAGCTCCTGCAGTCAGTCTGGATCACAGGCTCCAGTCAGTTAGATGTCAAAGCAGAGCAAATACACCATTTCAAAAATTCTCAGATTTTATTTTGCGTGCTATTTTTTCTTCCACGTTACTCACAAGCTGACCGGTGTGAGGTTTTAGTTTCTTCCAGCCCTCAGGAAGCTTCGTCCCACTCATGGCTTTCATGTCCATTCCACCCTTCCCTGCAAAGGAGCCTCAAGCGGCAGAGTATCTGCCCTCCTTTTCCRAGCCGATCCCGGCATGCGCCTCACACCTTCCTGTGGCAACATTCAGGATGTTGCGAGGCTGAGCTGTGACCTGGCTGTGCTAGGAGAGCAGGCCCTCACTCCCACGGGCAGGCTAAGCACGTCAGCAGCAGGGACCGAGGTTTACACGTGGCCTTACCTTGGCTGGAGACTCCTCATGAGTCTGCCTTAGGAAAGYGTGACCCAGAAGGGAGAACACTGGAGAGCCCTGTCGGAGGCGCAGCTACCCAGCAGCTAACCCAAGAGCGAGTCATTCCCCACATTCCCTTCGGTACCTTCTCAGGGTGGTCACTCCTTTCCCAAAGGGCTTTTCCTACAGCAAGCTCCAGGGAGCAAGCTGGCTCTTACTCTTCCAGCAGAAAATGGGGATGCCAAGCAGAGACAAGCCCTGCTTGAACGAGCCAGTGCTTGAGACAGTATGTTTGATGTGGCCTCATGACATGCACTTTAGTGGTTTGCTCTGAATGGTTATAATGTCTTCTGTGAATGTACATCATGAAGTCAGAATAAAATGCTTGCAGCAGACATATATACGCCTAACCATGAAGCAGTGATCGTTTGTTTCTTGATGTATATTACATGCTGTATTGAATATGACACCGTGATTTAAGAATTACTCTTAATAAGGTTTTAAAATAGGTACTACTAAGCATCCTTGTACAGATACAATTTTCTAAACTTAAACATGTCAAGTCTATGGCTTCCTGAACAGTTTGGTTGCGTGTTACATTATCACCACAGAAATCTTTTTTTCATCTTTGTGAGGAAAAAACTTTAAAAATCTGTTCCCCGGACAAAACCCAAAAGACTTGTTGAAGCACTGCTTGCACTCAGCTTGGTTCTTGGTGTTGACAGAAGTCTACTCTAAATATTTTTAAATGCTATTTCAACTATTTCACTTCTGCTCTTGATGCCATCATGTAACACCAGAGATCATAAAGGCTAGTAAATCTGTATTTCTTGTGCTCTGATCAAATTACAGATCTCAAGATTTTACATATAAACATATATGTATAAATACTTAGATCAAAGAAGAGATGCAACCTGTCTCCTGTGATGTGGGTGTTGTGTATGGAAGGCAGAATTTCTGTTCTAGAACAGAGCTGTGATGTGGCTTGCAGTGTTTGCAAGCTGATGCAATCAAGCCAAATCTCTCCAATGATTTCAGAATTAGGAAACTATTTCTAGTAACGATAAATCACATGAATACTTCTGAAAACATCTATTTGACAGAGGTCTGTTGGAACTAGCAGAAAAAATTGGAAAAACACCATCAGATCCTATTCACTTGCCTCACTGTAGCAGTCAAATGATGTGTGAATAGGCCAAGCAGGGCTTGATACTTGAAGTGYTTGGTACTGTTTTGCAGAAACACGGCCCTATAATTAGACCAAAGTGACCAGGGTTCAGAGCAAAAGCACCAGTTAAGTTTAACAGTTAAGCTTTAGCCACTTCCATATGGTTAAAGACAATTTCAGCTTTTCTTCATTGACAGGTAAGTATTTCAGAACAGTTTTATGAGATTAGGGTACTGAATACTGTGGGAATTAGCAAATTGGGAGCCGACTCAGATTCTTAATTTTAACKCTGCGATGAAAGCTGGGCTCCCTGCTCAGCGTGAGGAGGTGCCCCTCAGAGGGCAAAATGAGCAGGCGAGTGCTGCACTCCTTTACGGGGCTGTTAGAGGGATTGCAAGAACCGCCTGTGACCGTTTTGAGGCGAGCTGTTGTGAGGGGCTTGCCGTGGTGCTGCCCCGGGTAAAGCCTGAACGTGAATTGTCGTCCTGCTGCGGTGGTGGCAGCAAGGCCTGCAGGCCACGCCGTGTCACCCCGTCACCTCTCACACACACCCAGCATTACACAGAGCCCTCGTGGCCGCGAAGGACACACATGTGCCATCCCACTGCCATCTCCAGCCACATCACAGYGCCCGGCTTTGCTTTGCTCTCGAGTTTCAACGCAAGGAGGACAGGGTGATGCTCTACCTGTGCGGGAAGGAATTGTTTTTGTTCTGTGGGACTGTGCTGCTGGTTACCCTGACTGCCCTAGAGAGGAAGGAGAACCTCCTGAATAGATTTTAAAGGCTTGGCAGTAACTCAAGCACTGCTTGCATTGTCCTGCTCCATCAAAGCGTCCTGTAGAAACAAAGATTTCGCCTTTCACATGTACTCCTAAGAAAGCAGCCAAGCCCCTGCACTGGATTAGTGATTTACATGGAACCAGGATCAATTAACAAGTGCTCCTTTTTCCTGTGGAACGCCACCTCCTTTGGGAATGGGACTGAGAGAAGTGAATGCGACGCTGTTCATTGCTGCCTGAGAACTTGAGATGCTTTTGCACTGCAAGCTGTGGCTGCAGCGAGGGAGGGGAAAGGGAGGAAAGCTAACAGCGCAGAGCTTTTCTGTGTAACCTAGCGGAATGTGTGCCGGGATACTGATGCAAAACTGTATTTTAGTCTAAGAAATGTATAGATTTTTAATGCATCCAAATAAAAGTTTTGTTAAGAAATAAGGGAGATAATTGTCTGTGCTATAGCTCTTCCCCTGGTGCACAGCGGAACCGGGAGCCCTTTGGCTCTCGGGCAGCRGCAGCCTGAAACGCCCCTTTCTCCAGGGCCTTTTCCAGGTGGATGAGGCCAGATCTTGGGCTGCTGAATCCTGACGCGGCTCCTTCCTCCCACTGCAGCCGGCCCGGTTGGGGTCACAGATATTTAGATGTTTAATGAAGATTAGCTAGTGCCTGGGGAGGAATGACGTAGAATCTCCATTTACCATTTAAATTATAAATGTGGTAAAAGGTTGAGTTYGTACTGCCATACACAGAGCACCTGAAAAAGCTGGCTTTTTCCTTTCTTGGAAAAAAAAAAGAATGTCATATTCTCCCATCTAATTATCAGGTGCTGTTTTCCTTAGATACTATAAAAGTGGAAGAAAATGAAGCGCCAGGGCAGGTTTGTGAGTCCTCTGTGAGAGCAGTGCAGGCTGGAAATAAAGGTGATGATGAAGCTACCAAATTGTCTTACCGGGCGCCTGCACTGACAGCAATCATGCGGGAGAGCAGGTATTTCACACCAGAATGCTCTGGAGAAGAAATCACCAGCGTCAACTCTGCCCTCTGYGGAATAAATAATAACAGAAAATCCCCAAGATGCTGCCACAGCCTCAGATACAATCATAAAATATCCCTTGGTCTATATAACCTTCCTGATAGCSTTTTAGCAGCTGTATTCCGCTTTTAAATACTCAGCCCTGGAGGAAAGAGGAATTGCAATGTCAGATGGCAATGCCAGTTCTGTGCAAGAAGAAAAACACTCGTTTGAATCCAGTGCTCTGTCCTTTCTAAACACCTCAGAATAGCACAAGCTGTAATGACAGTACTTGAGGTAAAACTCTACCTCACTTTGAGAGTTTCTTGCTTTTTCTGTTACCTGCAGCGGGAATGTTGCTAGAGCAAGTACATAGACTTCAAGGCATGAGTTTCTGCATAGGTTTTACATGGCCTGGCCGGGGGACTGCTACGCCGGAAGAACAGATTAGAGTTTTGTGCTCTCTGTGGTGAAATAAAAACTTGAGAAATTTGACAAAATGCTGTTTTCTCAAAAAAAAAAAAAAAAAAGCATAAGTTTAGGTTTCCCAGAACATGCACAGCCTGATAAACTACTGAGCTGCAGACAGAAATAATAACAAGGCAAAAACTCCATGGAGGATGGAAGAGAACCATCTATAAACTCGATGTTCTCAGCACCGTGTTCCTGAGGGTTTATTTTGGGGCCAGTGTGTAACAAGTACAAAGAACCCACCAAGTTTCCRAGCCCTTGTTCAAACCAGGTGAACCACGAAGGCTGCAGGCTTTTCCCAGGGTCCGGAGGATCCCGCACATTGCAGTAGGAGGTCAGGAAACAGCAATAAGTAAAATGAGATGTGAACATGGCCATAATTCAGAGATCTCCTTGGGAATGGACTGCAGGAGAGCATAGAGGGGATCCCAGACCATGACCACATGGGAGATCCCTAAAGCTCTTTAGGGAAAAAAAAAACAGTATTAGCCGCTCCTGCGCCAGGGTTAACTTTTTCCATTAATATAAATCCAGAAAAAAACTCTTTTTGTCCTCACTCTTCCAGATGAGCCCTACTGATTCGTGCAGCCTGACAGCTCAGCTCAGTCTGAAGTGTAAGCAGCACTGGGAGTATTAGCGGTAATAGCTTCATATCCTTCCCTTCCCTTACAGTCACAATAGCACCGAAATCCAAGGGGAATTAAATGTATTCCCGCTGCAGAGCTGATCAGCCACCCCTTGCAATTTGGCTGTGAAATGAACAGCCATTGACAAGAAAGGGCAATTAACTAGTGAGCCTGGTGCTTCRTCACAACCCCCCTTTTTAAACAGGTTGCTGACGGAGTAAATCCAACACCCAAACAGCGTCACACAGGAAATCYGTATTCCCTAAAAGCTCCCTGTATGCCTGAAGACATGGAGTGGTGCTGGGTCCTGGAGACCTCCTGCCTCCTGTTAGCAGATCCCCCATCCCGCGCTTCTGGATGAGCAATAATATTTGTGAGTATTTGTGAGTATTTATCAGTTATTTGTCAATATTTGTTGGTGTTTGTCCGTATTTGTTCCCCTGCAGCAATTTATATGGCAGCCTATGAGCGCCGCAGGCAGTGTGAGCCAGTAATGAAGGTGACCGGCTCAGCCCCAAATCAGGAGATGGGTCCTGCCTTGCCACCACACAGCCCCACATATTGACCAGGCAGCAGGGAAAYGAGCCCTAGGGCAAAGGCTACCTCATCCCCATGTATTTCAGCTGTAATAAAAACAGCACGGGAAAAATCCCATTTTGTGCTGCCCAGCTCCTTTYGTGCCTCATGCACAAAATGCACCCAACAGCCTCCAAAGACACGTGTGGGTCCCACTGCTCTGCTCCTAAATGCTGGTGCCTGTGCAGTTCAGCTGCTAAACTGAGCCAAAATCACCATGTTTCGTAGCTAAAAGACATTTTTATGACACAGAAAACAGCTCTCTTCCCTGTTCCCTGCGTGCTCTTTGAGAACACGTGGCTCTCACAGCAACGCAGAATGTCACTGGGGGAACTCCAGAGCAGTTGGCTCTGTCCCCCAGGATTGTGCTGCAAGCGGAGCGGAGAATAGGAATCCACTTCGAACCACTTCTGAAAATCTCATCACAAAATGATTTGAAGAAGGACCCCGAGGCCTCACTCATGCATGGCGGTTTTCAGCTGCGTTTTTCAAGTAGGTTTAAATGAAAGTGCTAGATGGAGGGTCTATACCTGTCACTGCAGTATGCACATGGTAGCATTATATAAATACCAGCAGCAATCTGCTCACATTTCATTCAGCAATGGAGCCCAGACTGAGGTCTGAACAGTCCCCAGGGCTTGTTTCCAGTGTGCGCACTGCCTTGGGTGCAATTGTATGAATACGATAATTTATTTAAAGCATTCCCTTTGAGAAGGCAGCAGGAAGGTGCTCYAGTTCAGACCACGCAGGGAGATTTACCCCGATTTCCGCGGGGTTTCGCTGCCCCCTTAGACACAAGTTTACCCACATGCGACTGGGCTTCGGTAGCCGCCATTTTGTGGTGAGGCCCTTCAGCTGCCGCCATTAGCAGAGGACGGCGCCACACGCTGCTGTCCGCCGGGATCCTGCACGGCACCCGGAGTGGGGCTCTTCCCTGCAGAGAGCCCCTCGGAACGGCCCGCATGGGCCGTCCTGCTTCCAGCACACATGAGGGCATGCGGCATTAGCACCTCCTGAGCCTGCTCCTCAGCCCTCTGCTGCAAAAGGCATTTGGGGGATGTTTTTTTCCCCCATATGAGCTTGATTTTCCATCATGTGAAAAATCTCCCTTGTCTGCTTCTTGTCCCTCTGGTCTCTCATCTCCTTTCCTCGCCTCTCTCCTCACTGCAGGGCTTCTCAAAACGTGGCTTTCAAATGCAGAGTGACTCCTGGACCACCTCACTCTGGGCCCAGCCCTCACATGTGGTGCTTAAGAAAATTCATTTAACTCGCAGCTTTTAGACAGATTTCAAAGCTGATTGCAACAGGCACCTCGGCATAAGGGCACCAACATCACAGACAGATGAGCTGATCTAATGTGAAGAACTTGGCCTTCGTGTTCCTGGTAAGGGACTCCTGAGCACTGTCCTTAACTTCGTTCTCAAGTAATGGGTTATTCGCTCCTTTTCAGCAGCCTCATGAACTCACTTGGCTCAGCTACATTTGAGTAGTGTAATTCGGTATATTCCACCTAGATAGACACATGCTGTATCTTAAAGATTTCCAAGAGGAAGAGAAGAGAGGAGAAGAGAGAAGAGAAAAGAAGTGTTAATTTAAGCTGAAGTAGTCAACCTACTTCAACCTATCTACTATCAGCTTTTTGATAATAAAATACTGATTTTTGATGCTGATACATTTTCACTACAGTGTTATGACAGACCTTGATAGGGACCTAGCAGTGGGGGCTTCTCTCATACTTCTGACACCACGGCATGAGCTGGGAAGTGGAGGGTGTAGGAGCCTTTCCCAAGGGATGATGATCTGATAGCCAGGAATTGGCCTTGAAATCCAGGATTGTGATGGAGTGGCAACCATGGGAGGGTCACATATGGCCACAATGTGGAGCATATGTAATATATGGGTG